GGCCGCAGCCCAGTCCCCGCCCGCTGCCTGCCGCCTGCCTGCTCCGGCCGCCGGCCCCGCTGGGCTGCGATGGCTGCCTTCGCCCGCCGGCCCGACGCTGCCTCGCGCCCTCCGCCCCCCAGAGGGCCAGCGCCCAGGGACGGGGGGGGGGGGGGGGTTCCGGCCTGGGGGCAGGAGACTGTTCTCCGGGGCACACGCCCTCCTCTCCCCGACCCCACCTCCCCAGCCGAGGGCGCGCCAGCCCCCAGAGCCCCATAAAGGCTGGAAGAAAAGCTGGGGTTCCTCAGACGCTGTCCACTCCCAAAGCCAGTCTTGCTTGGGGTCACCACTCACTTGGTCATAGCCAGGGAAAGGGAAAGGGAAGAGGACACTGGAAATGCCTGACCTGCCTCTTAGGGGCATGAGGAAGGAGCCTTCAGGTGGGCCCACAGAAACCTAGCTCTGGGCCTGGGGCTGCTGGGGACTGAGGGACAGGCCTCCTCCCCATTGGGCTTCCTTAGAATTGGGGCTCTCACCTCAGGGGCCACCACATCCCTTCCTCTCTCCTCCATGCGCCAAAAAAATATGGGGGGGGCACCCTCCAAGGTCAGTGTGTCCTAACAGCAAGGGGCCTCCGGCACCCTTTGCTGCCACCGCAGGTGGGAGAGGGAGCATCAGGAAGTGCTCACGTGGCCTCTGTTAAAACTCTAGCTAGAGCTTAGGGCTTGGCTCAGACCTGAAGGAGGTAGAGTCTCCACACTGCCTAAGGCCCTGCCTCTCCACTCGGGGACCCTCCCCCACTCCCAGTAGTGGCCAAACCAGCAATATCTGACTGACCCAGGACCCCAGATGCAAGATGGACACCCCAGCACCTGGAGTAAAGCCTCCCAAAGCCAAATGCCCAAGGTGTACTGTCTGCAGCTGGTACCATCTGAGGGTACTGGCTGGACAAACAGCAAAGTTTATGACCTGTCACCCCGGGGTGGCAAATGTGGCCACATCTGGCTATTACCACCCATGTAACACAACTCCTGGACAGCTGGGACAAATGCCGGGGCCAGAGCCACAAGGTGTGGCACCCCTTGATCAGCTTCTCCTGAAGGTCCTGGCCTTGGGTCTTGGGGAGGGGGAGTGTCACATGGGTACAGAGGTCTTCAGACACCTACTGCCCCCCAGCCCCAAGCACAGCCAGAAGGGGCCCTGCAACCTCTATCCCCAGGGACAGGCTTCCCCATGCTGCTACAGTCAGACTTCTGGAGGGAAGAGACCATTCCTTCCACAAGGGTCTTCCCCCGCCACTCTGAAAGCAACACAGCTCCAGCCCAGCATCTTAACTGGGGTTAGGTCCAACAGGGGTCAATTTGGGGGCGGCAGGCGCTTTCCCCTGGGGAGACCATAAAGGTCCCTGAGGCCTGCAGTTGCTGTTCCCTTCACCTTCCCATGGGAGGGAGGTTTAGACACACTGAGATGATTCCTCCGGAAGTGGGTGAGGCTCCGTAGAAACCACAGGGGTGGGCATCCAGAGTTACTAGCTAGGCCTTCCCAGGTGCCCTTAGTGCAGGCACAGCTCGGAGGTCAGTACCACCATGTCAAGGTGAAGCCAACTTCAACAGACAAGAACTATGGGAGGGAAGTTCTCTGATGGAGCCCAACATCCTCAGATCGGGTGTCCCACCTCTGTAGCCGGGGTCTTCATTTGGCCTCTCTGCATCTAATCCTACGGCCCTCTTTGCACCTACAGGGAATCTAGGGTATACCATTCACCAGCCTCTTTCTAGACCTGGGGAAACCAAGGCAGGAGGCAGTGAGGTGACTGTACTCACCTGGCAATAAAGAAGGCCTTTGGTGCATCTGCTCCAGGCCAGAGAGCACGCTCCTTGCTGAAGAGCAAATGGTAGCAGGAGTCTCCCTCAACTGTCCCCCTGGGTGTCTCTAGGGAGCCAAGGGACAAAGGGTCACCCTCTCCCCTCCATGTGTGCCAAAGTAGCACCTGAAGTGAGGGATTTCCAGCAACTCCACAGACCCAAGAATGGAAGAGCCCCAAAGAGGGAGCTAGGATTTTGCCACCCTCAGGTCCCCCGGCTGGGCAAAGGCAGCCAGCTGCATGTGACCCACCATCTATTGCCAGCTCCCCACGCATCCCCCCCACATCACACAGGCCCCAAGGCACCCAACCAACTGGACTGAAACTGCAGGCGCCCAACTTTGGGAGACTCTATGCCACACGGGGGCTAAGTGCCCTGGCAAGGTTTCCTTTCATTTTCTACTTTGCAGTCTTGGACAGTGTTCCCAAACAAGCCGCGACAGCTCCAGTCCACACCAGCATACCAGGCTTCCTCCCCAGGGCAGTTTAGAGGAAGCGCCTTCTGGGCATGGCCAGGCAGTCCTCCTTCCCTCTCTCCTTCCCCTTCATCCCCTGGCCTCAACTCACTCTGGCTGAGGGGGGCGTGGAGGGTCCTGGGGCTTCCCACTCCCCTAGCACCCATAACAGGAGGCCTGTGGAGGGCTCTGCTTCCCTGTCCCACCACTTTTCCTTCCTGCCTATTGGAGGGCAACTGGGGTCCCCCCGAGGCTGGTCCTGGATCTCCCTCCTCCCTTCAGTGGGAGGGGGCAGAGATCCAGAGGACCACAGGGCTCGGTCCCTTGGACAAGCAAGCTCAGGGAGGATGCAAGGGAGGAGGTGGCTGCAGAGGACTGCAACCCTGTTGGGCACAGACCATGCAATCTGTGGGGGGGCTGGCCCCGGGGCCGGCCGGGCCTGTCCACCTGCTCAACGTGCTTCCACCAACCAGAGGAAACCCGTTTACTAGTTTTTCTAATAAATCAATAAGGCTCCATATTTCTCTCTGTTTCTTATTTGACTGGCCTTGTTTCCCTTTGAACTGGGCCAAGGAAGGCTGGTTGAGCGAGCAAGGAGGGATCTCTGTTCACAGGACCACCACAAAGACAGAGAGACAGCCAGACTCTCTGGCTTGTCCCTGGGAGTCTTACGAGACAGTCTGCCAGCACCCAGGTCCTGCACCTCATCTGAGACCCCGGGAAAAGCTCGCTCGTTTATGCAATCAACCATCTTGAGGGCCCGCTGCAGGCCTTTCCCCATGGAGCTCAGGCGAGATCTTGGTGCTCACCGGACACCAAAATCACCAGAATCTCTGCCTGGGATGCACCTCCAGAGGGGCGATTTCAATTGGCCTGGCTGGATGGAAGCTAGGCATCGCCATTTCTCAACAGGTTCCCTCCCCTGATGATTCTTTCTAACGAGCAGTCGGTGAGAATCACTGAGCTGGTCCAAGGTTCCCAGACACACCTAGGTGGTTGTGTAAGGATCACTGCCACTTCCCAGGCCCCACCCCCGAAGAGTCTGAGTCAGGAGTTTGAGAGGCAGCATCTCATCCATCTCCTTAAACTTACAGATGAGGAAAAAGCAAGAGTTTAGGTGACCCAGCTAGTTAATGGCAGGGTGGGACCAGAACCTGGGTCTCTCTGGACTCTCACTCCAGTGCATTTGCGGCTACTCAGCGTCGTAACTCAAGTCTTGCCTGGTAAGAGCCAGCTCTCTCTCAGCGACTCTGGAAGTCACCACAGAAAATCCAGGGCAGCTGGCAGAACATGGGCTAGCTCTGCTCTGTCTGCTTCTGCTCAGAACGGGCCTCCACATGCCTCCAACCTTCCCTTGACCTCATCAGACTCAGCAGACCCATCTTCAGGGGTCCCCCCAGGTCAGAAGACTCGCAGGGCCCTGACCCTGCAAACCTGGGGGCACACGTGCAGGACAGCTCTGCCACCTAGTCCTGTAGCCCCACTCCTTCCAGGCCCCAGCCAGAAGGAACGAACCCAAAAAAGGCTGGTCCATCACGGAGAAAGGGCAGAAAGCCCAATCAGAAATAGAGAGGCATTCCTACCCTTTTTCAATCAAAAACAATTTTGAGAATGGGATGAAAACCAAGGATCTATCCCATAAAAAGTGCACCTGCACTCCTCACCCAACATTGCAGCCACCTTAAGACCTCTCTAGGTTCCAAGTTTAGAATCCTGGCCTCCTGATGTCTCCTGGGAATTAAAGAGGGAAAGAGAAGTAAAAGGCACCAGACACTGGAAACTTCTGCCTATTAGAAAAATGTTCCGTTCACTGTTCTCCTTTTTTTTTCAGTCCAACTTTGGCCCTTGGGGAAAAGAGCTCAAGGCTGGCATGGTGCCCCAGACCCCATCCCAGACAGGACACCAGGCTGAGGACAGACAGAGAAGTCCATGGGTATAGAAGTAGCAGAGAACGAGTTCCCTCCGGCATGTCTTGCTGCCCTAGCCTCCCCTACAAGCACCCGGGTGCCTTATCTTCGTGAGCACGGATGACGAATGAGTGAATGTGGAGGCAACAACAGCCACGTCTCGCCTTCCCTAGGACATCCCTGGACACGATCAATTCTCCCCAACCCAGCTAGACCCCAGGAATAAGGCCGCACACAGGTCGCTTGGTCAGCAGTGGTTATTGCACCATTGGCAAATAATGAAATGTGTGTACATTAGCGACAACCACAGGGTCAGCAAGACAACCCACAAAAGTACCTGAACTGAGTCCATTACATTCTTCCCAGGAGGGGGATCAACAACAGAAGAACACACATCCTCACACACATACGCACACACTAACATACCACAGAATGGAAAGCAATAAATTATAGGCCTCATTCCTCCTGGATCCTAAGAAGAGGCACAGCTGGAGAGCAAAGCCTCCCCAGGCCACTCTCCTGTGTCTCCCCTGGGTGGGGCCAGCAGTCTGGGCCCTAGGAACAGGTGAGCTTAAATATTTGGCTTCTTACCAGAGAAAAACTATATACAAGGGAAGTGGCCACACTGGCCTCAGAGGGAAGAAGGGCTCGTCTGGGCCTGTGGAAAGTCGCCGCAAACCGGGGGCATCGCCAGCGCATTCACAGACAGCAGGTGAAGACACTTGCCGAGCACACTAGCACGTTCTTCCAAGAAGAGCAGAGGGACTGGCCTTCCCCGGGGCACTGGGCAGGGCTGGTGTGAGCCCAGGGTGCGGAAGTACACCAGGCTCCTCCCTGACCCCCAGCATGGCTCCCCCTCCTCTAGGACTCAGAGTCAACCTATGGAGTTCAAGGCCTGGAATTTCTCCCTCAGGTTTCTCACTCTGCCCTGTTGGCTCAGGTCCGCTGGGTCCCTGGCACCCTCTTCCTTTGGCCGAAACTCTGCAGGCTCCTGGAAATCCTGGCCCTGCCCCACCGTGGCCGCTGGCGAGCTCGGTCCCTGCCCAATGCCCTCCTCCAGCCCCACAGCGGGGCCGGGCAGGGGCCCCTTCTCCATGACAATCACCCGCCGGTTGTTGTCCAGGGTGAGGTCTGCGGTGACGATCAGGGCCTCCTCTCCATCCGGCCCGCTTTGGGGCAGCACCCTGGGAGGCTGGGGCTGGGTGGCCTCCGGGCCGGCCCGGCTCCTCTGGGTGCTCAGGCTGCTACAGCGGCCCACCCTGCCAGACAGAGGAGGCTCCACAATGTTCTCCGGCACCGAGCGGCTCCGGTTGACGGGCGGGCGGTGGGGCCGGCTGCCCTCGGCCTGGAGCGCCTCATCGTAGGAGGCATACTTGGAGCAGAGCTCCCGGACGTCAGGCCAGTTGAAGGTCTCAGTGTTGAAGGGGCTGAGGGGGCTTCGAGAGGAGGGCCGGGCCCCAGGCGAGGTGGTCCTCGGGCTGGCAGCAGAGGGGCTGAAGGAGAACCGCCGCGGTGACGTCTCCCCGGCAGAGCAGGGCTTGGGCGGGCTGTGCTCCTGGACCATCAGCTGCTCATAGTTGAAGAGGGACAGCACTGGCTTTCTCTTACCTGCAGGGAGGGAAAGTGGCCTGAATCACTGAGCGGGAGGGGAGAGAGGAAGAGGACGCTGAACTGTCTTCAACTCACTTTCCAGGCAAGGCTGGCTGCTGGGGTTTATGGGTGTGATAGAAGAGAAATCTCACTGACCATCCACAGCCCATTTATCAAAAGCAAATGGGAAGAATGAAGAAAAGGCGGTGGACAAAGGGTCAGGAGTCAAAGGAAGAGCTCCTGCTCTCCTGTAAGAGGGGCCCATGGCCACATTTCCTCCAGAGGCCTCTGCTCCATAGGAAGGGCTGGGTGGGGGGTGGTACCGGGCAGGGAGAGGGCTCAGCCAGGGCTGCATGCTCAGCCTCGGGGCCTAAACCAGCTGCCAGGGCTCACCCTGGCCCTCAGTGTAGGGTCCAGCCCTCTCTTTGGTAGATTCTTTTTAGGGGTCACTTTCCCCCAGGAGCCAACTGGCTCCTAAAAGGCTCTTCTGCCCCAGACTTGCGGGAAGGACCCACTCCCTGCCCCCTTCGCTATACCTGTGCCACCCAATGGTGATCCGGTCTCCTCCTGCAGACGGGGAATGGTGGGAACCACCTTTTCCCACTGCAGTGGCGGCCTGGCTGTCACCGACTTGCTCTTGATCCGGAGGCTGTACTGGCGAGCCAGCTGGTAGACCTTGTTCTTGACTCGCTCGCTCACGTGGCTATCCATCACGTGGGAGAGCTGCACAATGCGGGGGTGCAGCGGGGCCACCAGCTCCCCCTGGGCACCACTGCTCAGCTCCTTCACCAGCTCTTTCAGCTCCCGGGCCAGGTGGGCCGGGCTGGGCCGCTCGGTGGGGGATATGCTCTCCGGCGAGGCAGTGGCCGACTCCTCAGTGATGGCCCCCAGCTCATGCTCCTCCAGGATGAAGAGTGGCTCATGTAGGTCAAAGCCGTTGGCCTGGCCTTGGCCTGTCCCCTTCCGAGGGCTCCCCCCAGAAGACTCCATTCCCTCCCAGATCTTCACAATTTCCGAAGACGGGCGGAACTCAGCATCTGTGATAGGAGCTGGGTCCCCAGTGCCCACTTGGCCTGGTCCTGGGAGGTCAAACAGGGCCCAGGAAGCCGGCCTGGAGCCCACCTGTCTCTTGTGCCCCAGTGGAGCCAGTGGCTCTGGGTCTGGCCTGGGAAGGCTGTTGAACCTGGAGACCGAGTTTCTCACCAGCCCTTTGGGAATGTAGGAGAGGCTCTCCCGGCGCCGGATGCTGAAGCCCGCGTCATGGTGCTCCGCATTTTCATAGTAGCTCTTGATTCTGTCCAGCAACAGCCGGTCTCGGGTAGAGAGCATCGATTCCTTCCTCTTGCAGGAAGACCTGTCTGGCTCCACTGAGCAGCCTGGGCTTGAGGGCTCTGTCCCATTGACAGAAGGGCCACTCTCTGTGGCCACCCCCACATTGGTGTCCACTTCTAGGGGGAGCTGAGAGCTGAGGGAGTCTGTGGTGCTACTACTCCCTTGGGCCAGGCCCTTCTCACTGCCCTCTAGGCTAACCACACTGCTGCTCCGGCTGGTCAGCCTTGGGGTCCCAAAGCCACTGGACTTGCTGTCCTCCAGTGCCAGGCTGCTCCGCCGAGAGAAGCTGCTGACGAACCGCTCAGCAATGACGCTGGCCTGGTCCAGCACGGAGGGTGGCAGGAGGCTCTCGGGCTCCTGGGAGGCCCCCATTTCCTCCTCCTCCTCCTCACTGCTCAGGGCCTTAAGGTCCTCAGTGCTCTCAGCCACCACGAAGTCCGCTATGTCACCTGAGTGGTGCAGCCCCAGCAGCTCCTGGTGGGCGTCAAGCTGCCCATCCAGGACTTCTGGAGACTCTGTGTCTGAGGGCATCTCCTCGGTGCTGGGACCTCCCGCGGCAGCAAACACCTCCTGCTCTGTCCCCGACTCAGGGTCTGGCTCAACCTGGGACAGCACAGAGAGCTCATATGAGCCAAACACCTCCCTCATGAGACCCGGGGGATGAGGGGACAGCACACCTGCTCAAAGCCTAGTGAGGGGCTGCAGTTTGGGACCGAAGGCAACCAATGAGCTCGAATCAAGAGTGGGCAACAGGAACTCAGAGAGAACAGCGTGATGACGTCCCTCAGTCACCCTGGGCCCAAGGAAATTCCCTCAAACCCAAGGAAAATGCTAGGATGGGGGAGAGTGGTGGCACCCGTCAGTGACAGCCTGCCTGGGAGCTACAGGGACAAGGTGGGAACATACACACAGGGCAGAGGTGTGGCACCAGGACTCCCCTGCCCGATGGTGTGGCAGCTCCCTAAAGCCCTAGAGCCTCCCCACATGTTCAACCCCAGGCCTGAACAACGTGAGAGGCCACTCCAACTTCCCGGAGGGGCCAGGGCCTCCCGTGTGGATCAGGATCCTGAGGGCAACAGGACCACCTGCTGGAATCCTGTCAGAGGGCAACATCAGGGATTTGGCTCCTACAGCCAGCCTCTGGCCTTGTGCACAACTCCACATGTGCCCAGAAGATGGGCAAGGAAGGAAGCAAATTTGCGAACTCCTCTTGACCACCTTGAAGGTCATTTAAATCATAAAACTGGCCAGTACAGGTAGCTTTCCAGAAGGGTCTTTAGGGAGAAGAGCAAACTCACTACATACTGAGGCATCAGACCTGATTCCCATTGTTCTAGTCCAGAATCTACAGAGCAGGACCCTCGACCTAGGCCTGCACCATGCACCACAGTAGCCACCAGCCACACATAGTTTCTGAGCAACTGAAATGTGGCTAGTCCAAACTGAGGACAGTTCTACGGGTAAAATACACACCAGACTGCAAAAACTTCATACAAAAAAAGTATAAAACATCTCATTTACAGTTTTTATATTGATTACATGTTGAAATGACAATCATTTAGATATACTGCGTTAATTAACGCGGCTACTAGAAAATTCAAAATTACACATGTAGCTTGAATTATGTTATCACTGGACATCAGACTCTTAGCCACTGTCATCCAGGTTTCTAGTCTTGTCTTGGCTGCGAGGCCCCTCCTGGGGTGTAGGCCTCATGAACTTTCTCTTGTTAACTTTGGGAAAGCAAACGACTCCATTCCACACAACCCACAGACAGCGTGGGGTGGCGGGAAGAGGAGCATGGGCTTCTGAGCCACAGACTCAAGTCTGAGCCCAGCTCTGCCCCTCAGGAGCTGCCCAAAGTTGGGCATATCACTCAACCTCTCTGAGCCTCTTTCTCCCTAGTAGAGCTACTGCAGGGAATAGAAGGAAGAAATAAACCATCACACACGTAGGAGGTACCCAACAGATATCAACACCCTGCCCCTTTGCTCAGGTGGGCACGGGCGTGATTTAAATGTCTGGCATGCTGGCAGGGACAGGGCATTATGCCTATAGAAGGAGGCCTGGCCGAGGGGACCTAAAATCTGGCCACTTCCACTAACTGTGCCCCTTGGCAAGGGACTGCATCTGCCCAAAGGCAAGGGAACCTTTTTCTAATTCATGGAAAGGGGCTGCTGCTCCTATGTACCCATAGACCAGATGGGCTTCCTGAAGGGACCAGAGTCCTGGGGAGCAGGGAATTCCTGTCCCCACGGGCCCAATGAGAGAACTCATGCCCGAAAGCCCCGCCTACAGACCTGGAGATCTGCCCCAGGCACCTCTGCACCAGCCCCCTTCCACCCGCTGGCCGCTCACCTCTGGCAGGGAAGAGGCAGACTCGAGGCTCATGCGCTTCTCAGGACTGGTTGGAGACTGACTGCTGGGCCTTCTGCAGCTCTTGGAGCCTTCAGACTCCCTGCGCCCCTTCCCCTGCAGCAGGCAGAGGGCAGTGGTCAGCTGCTGGGACAACTGGGAGCTGGTCTCTTCTGCATCCCAACATGGGCAGCACCTCTTGAGCCCTAAGAGGGCTGGGCTGCGCTGAGAGCCAGCCTTGGACCTGAGCCATTCCAGAGTCAACCTGAACTGCCAGGTCTAGGGACAGAGAAATCCCTGCCAGGCATGTGGCCTCTGAAAAGTCCAACCCACTTGACCCTTCCAGCCCTGCTGTGCGCTGGCTTCCCCCGTTCCCCACCACCCCCACCCCATTAGTCATGCTCATTGGTCACACCCCATTAGTACACTGGTTAGAGCCCAGTCCTGGAACAGCGCATGCCAGGGGCTCACCAGGGCATGACAGTGAGTGAGGGGTTAAGAAGTGCTGACGGCAGGAGTAAAGGAACAAGGACAGAGGAGGGGGGACTCTCTGATGGGCATGCACGTGCCAGGGAACATGCAAGGAGGAGGGGAGATCAAAGAGACACCTCACCATAGCGCCCCGGGAGAAAAGTAAAGCGTTGGCCCGATAGTGCCAGCAGTGGAGGGCGGCCAGCAGGGAGCTGGCAAAGTCGGCTACCTGCTCCGCCACTGCCAGGCTCTCCTCCTCCTCCTCCGAGCCCGGGGGCTCAGGCCCGGCCCCCTTCTCGCTGCCTTCATGCCCTGCCAGGTCCTCCAGAGAGACCTGAAAGGCCTGCTCCTCCTGCTCCTCCTCCACCTCCTCCTCTTCCTCCTCCTGTTCCTCCCGGGCAGCCCCTTCAGCCTCCGACTGCAGGCCCCGAGTACGGGCAGGCTGCCCGAAGTCCAGGAGAGTGCCGGCACTGCCCGCATGCTGTTCAGAGCACAAGACCCCCTCGTGACCGGCCTCTGGGCAACCTCCTCTCCTCCTGCCAGTGGTTGGGGGTGGGGAGGCTTCACGGAGAGAGACACGTCTAGACCTTGGTCTCCACCAGGGCCCAGTGAGGACAGGGGTTCTCGAGGCGGGAAGCCGGGACCTGGGGAGGCCGGGACTGGGGCCTGGTCAGGAACCCAGACCCAGGGAGGCCTCCCTGCCCCAGAGAACAGGAGAAATGAGGGAGGATGCAGGCTGGGCAGGACACCCCCAGGGTGCCATTCCAGGAAAAGGGTGCAGAAGGGTCCCCGGGGCAAGGGCCATAGCTTATTCACCTCTGTGACCCTCATGACAGAGCCCGGCGCACAGTAGGCGCTTGACAGTGTTTGTTGAATGAATGAAAACAATGGGGGCTGAAGGGGTAGGGGGCTAACCGGGCAGTCCCACCCACCTCTGTCCACCCACTGGCCTTACCTTCATTCCTGCTGCTCTGGCTGCTGCCACCACCGCCGGGTCCAGCACATGGGTGAGGGGAAGGGAAGGGGATACTGGTAAGCAGGAGAAGGAGCCTCTTTACAGAGGCCTGAGGCCCAGAGCCCCCTGGGGAAGGCCTCACGGGGGGCTCCTACTCCTAGAACCCTCGCTGGGTCTCCTGGGCTTCCAAAGGAATGACTGACAGAACAGGAGCCCGGGGAAGCAGAGCAGCGCAGGTCTGTGCCTGTTGCTCGCTCCTGCTGTTATCCACGGACAGAGTGTGAGGCATGTGGGTCGGGGAGAGCTCCCTCCCCATTTAGCAAGGGGTGAGGCCCACTTCCAGGGAGGAACAGAGGCAGAGTCCCCTCTGAACTGTCCTCAACACCCCCACCCAGGTGGTTACTGCTTCACTTTCCTGCCCACGCCCTAGAGCTCACCGGAATGGCCATCCACCTCTCCCACTCACCTTTCTCACTGAGTTGCCTGAGCAAGTGTTTGGTCGGCTCTGAGGGGGAAAGAGAATGGGCAAAGTCAGCACAGACCTGGAAACAGCCCTGCCTGGCCCTGGTCCCACGCTCACAGCACCACCAGCCCATCACCAGCTCAAAGTCCACTCTGGCATGGCCCCCGAAGCCCTAGGGCCTCAGGGAGGCTGCCCTTGCACCTACCCCACAGGGAGGCATGGCCTAGGCCACTCTCTCCAGCCCCTGCCAGCCAGCCCCCAGGAGCAGCACTGCCCACAACCCCCGCATTAGCGCACCCACCCAGGCCCCTCGGGTCTGCAGCCAGAGCCCCACTCTGCCCACTTCAGACCAACCAGCCACGTCTCTGGAGGGCCCCGGCTCCACCTCAAGCCCCACTCTCCCCACAACAGCACATCAGCGCATTAGCTACACCTAACACCAACCCCCTTCACAGCACTGGGGCTGGAAAGCAGAGGTCGCACCCGACTTTCTACGGCCCCTAAGGGCTGGCACCAGGAAGCCTCGCTGCCAGCTGGGGAGTGTTGCCCGGCTGTATGGGGGCTGACCAGGTTCTCGGGACAGGATACAAAAAATATCCATTAGGCTCATGGGGACATCTTTCTGGGGACAGACCTGAGACAAGGAGGCAAGGATAAGAGGACAGCGTCTCAAGAGATCTCTCTACAGAGCCAGGGCCTTAGCCCATACTGTCCTTGACCAACTGGTGTGAAGTGGGAGGCCCACTAAAAACTTGGAGCCAGAAGGAAAGTCTACTGAGGTCTCTTAGCTGTTCCTGGGAAGAAGAGCACATTGAAGAACTTTTTTTCTACTGAGATGCACATACACACACACTCTATCTGCATCAGTATAAGTAAACATCCAATTGTTTTTAAAGTGAGAAATATAAAATGCTCTGCTCTTTTATCTTAAAACTTGTAATCAAGAATAATAAGTGACAAATAACGACAGTAGCACCTGACTTATCCAGATAGTGCACCATCGCCCATCTCGGCTCTCTGGAAGTAGAAAGCAGGAGAGCCCAGAGGCAGGCGGAGAAGACGGCTGAGAGCAGACACTCAAGCACTTGCGTGGGGCCGCGTCCTTCCTCTCAGCAACTTCCTGGCCTGCTTTTACACACACTTCTCACAAGTTTGGTCAACTTATTTCTCGCGGATAGAAGGGGGAAGAAGGGGGAAGAAGGGCGACTACAGGCAAGCATGCCAAGACCGATGAGAACCAACACTCTTCAGTAAAGATGGTCACAACACCTCAAAGGCGGCTGTATCTATGGCAACCCCCAGCCCCGCCTCCCCCGGTTCACCTGCCACAGTGATGCTGCTGCACCGACCCTAGAAGAGGGGAAGTTCAGCTGTGGCCAGCATCCTCTACTTTAAAAGGCTCACGAGTATGAAGCACGTTTTAGAAAGATGTCTGTTTCATAATGCTTAAAACTAAAACAGGAAAACAAACAAAACCCCACTCTTTCAGTGTTCACAAGCTAAAATCTCAGCTACGTGGAAACTGGAGCTCTAAAACGGCTCATTTCCCAAATGCCCTGACTGCTACGGTTTGGATGCCGATGTTATGACAGGTGGTACAGCTATTAACACCTCCCCCACCGTCACTGACTGGACACTTCCATGGGCCAGGAGCTTCCAACTCAAAGCTATGGCAAGTTAAGGGGGAGTGTCAGAGGGACAGGAGGAGAATTCGAGGAGAAGAAAGGGAAACAAAGAGGGCCAGAGACTTATGAAGTAACACCTCCAATCTGGGGCTTTCAACACACGGCATCATAAAACTGGTGCAACCATGCTAAGTTTGCCTGGGGTTCGAGATCCATTGAGAGCCATACCAAACAAAACAAAACAAAACACAGAAGCTTTCCAGAGACCACTTGGCTCCATCTTCTAGAAGACCAAAGCCCACAGGTCAATCCACACTGTTGTTCAGGGCACCCGTGGGTCAAGGCCAATCAAAGCCCAGCGCACTGTGGAGACCCAAGCCAGGACACCGCTCCTAGTCACTCCGCAATCTTTCTCTCCAGGGGACTCTAAGGCAGTTCTCACCCCAACTCCCACCTCGTAAGTTTGCAGGCACCCGGCTGAAGCCAGATCTGTCCCTGGGCCTCAGACGAAGGGCAGAGTGAAAACACACACATTCATCACCACGGGAGCTAAGAATAAAAGCAAGGTTTTCTCTTTTTCAATAGACGATTCATTCCAATAAATCTAAGTACACAGTAGCAAGCCCAGTGGTGGAAGAAAACCCAGAAGAGGAAAATGGAACACTTTCCTGAGACCCAAAGTAAATATTTCCCGTCTGGATTTGGTGCCACTTGACGTCTAACTCGTTTTCCCCACGTCCTGCCTCTGCCCTGTTCCAGAACTGGGCTGGGGACCATCTATGATGTCCGAGCATCACTCCTGGCTGACTCCCAGTATTCTGAGTGGCAAAGGAGGGAAGTTTTGATCACAGGGGAACCAAGAAGGGGTGCCAAGGCCTGAGTGAACAAGCATCCCTAGGGCCTTGGAAAAGGTGGGCTGCCCAACCCTGGTGGGCCAGAAGGGCCAGAGATGCCTGGTGGAAACAGCAGGAACACAGGGAGAGGATGGCCCACACATGCCCATCAACCTCCCTCCTGCCCCTTCCCAGGACTTCTGGAGAGGTGAGAGCCAGCCCAGATGCTGCTGCAGATGGTCCATGCCTGATCAAGGGTCCTATGAAGAGACCTCTCTGCCCACACAGCACTGCCCTTACCAGATTGCCGGCGGCCCTGGTGCATGTGGGTGGACACTTCATCCTGGGAGGACCAAGCCTTCTTCAGCCGCTCCGGGCTGTGGCGGTACCGATTGGGATCTGCATCCAGGAGAGACAATTGGGCCTTTTGGGGTAACCATCAGCCTTGGCCTAGACTCTGCACACAGCCGACCACACCCCCTCCACCACCCAACCCAGCTCCAGGGCCCAGGAGCCTCCAGAGCATCCCACCATGCACCATCATGCCCCCAGTCTTGCAGAAGACCCGCAGCCCTTGATAATAGGAGCCTCCCCGTCCTCTCTGCTCCCTGGAATATCAGTATCAGGCAAAGCTTCTCCAAGATGCAGTCTGACCTAGAGATGTGCACAATTAGGGACAAAACAGGCAGAAAGGGTCCACTTACAGTACGAATCCATTTCCAGGATGGCTTCCTTGGCCTAGAGAGAAGGAAACCCACCTAGTTACTACCTTACTATGTGCTGTGTCTCCCTCGGCCCACGGACTTGCTGTTGCTGCACTGGGACACCCCACAGGGCTATGCTGAGGCCCGTGGCATCCTCTGAACTGACCCCTGCTGTCCAGTGGAACCAAGGTCCAGAATGTGAGGCCCCAGGGGACTGGAGCTGACTCTGAGGGATACCCTCTCCCTCCTCCCTATCAGGAGCCAGGCCAAGGCACCCAGGCACTCACCTTCTGGGGGATGGTGGTATGGTGATTCTCCAGGATGAGCCTCTTGATGTGGTGAGTCCAGCTCCGTTTCTCCTCCACTGTTTTGGCCTGGAAAGACCCAAGGGAGAAGGAGCCAGGATTATTATCACAGGCCCGAAGCCAGCCGGCAGCACCATGCTTCTGCTGAGGGGGGCACAGGGTGGAAGCAGGGGCTGTGCTGGGGCCCTCTGAGGTCACCTTGATTCCTCAGAACAAGCCTGAAGGGATGCCCACCAGGATCCTTACCTTCCAGAGGGAGACCTGAGGCCCGTGCAGGTTCTGTCCCCATCCCAGGTGCCCCAGCCTGCCCCTCACCTGGATGCTGTACTGCTGCTTGCTGTGCTTGTAGTGGGTGACGGTGAAGCACAGGGAGTCTCTGGTGCTCTCAATCAGCATCAGGGAGGAGCACTGGGGCAGAGGGGTAGAGCGGTCAAGACAGGGGGGTACCCAGGGTGGGGGTCCCAGCCCTCAGGACCATCTGGGGAGGCAGGGAGAGGACTCTCAGAAGGATGGAGCTGCATCCACACCGACTGGGGGCCTGATGAAGAGGGCCAGAAGAAAGCCCGGGCCACCGGGAAGGAGGGAAAGAGGGAAGAGGGCAGAGGAGACAGCCGCGGCCTGGTTACCGGGATGTGACCCTTGTAGACAAAGTGATCGCCCCGCTTCTTGGTGATGAGCAGCGCTTTGTCAAAGAGGAAGAAAGTCCTCTCGTTGCGCACGCGGTGCACGCGGAACGTGCCCTCCAGGACGAGCTCCCCATAGGTGGTCAGGTCTGGCCCCTTCCAGTTGATGAGCAGTGACTGAATCTCCTGCAGCAGACAAGCCCCAACCCCCAGGGTCAGGATGCTCATGATCCTACAGGGACCACACAGGGCCTCAGGAGGCTCCCACAGACCCAGCGACCACCTGGGTCCTCCAGAGACATGCTGCCACAAGGGCTCCCCCGAGAGAAGCCCACCCTACACGGCCACCACCCTTGAGCTCACCCCAGCAGGGCGGCCATATTCCTTCTCCCAAGCCCTATCCCGCCCTGTCGACCACCCCCGCGCGTCCCTCCAGCCACCAGCCCGGAGCACCTGGAGACGGACGGCATGCTCATGCCTCCTCTTCATGTCATTGATGTACCAGGCCACGCAGGTCATGGTGTCAATGGCATCCTCCACCACCTCAAAGCCGTCCTCCTCTTCATCAAAATGTTTGGCAATTTCCTGTGCAGGAGACAGTGGCTTACGCAACCCAGACTCAAGGGCCCTGCCCCCCCAGCCCCCATGTACTCAGGAGGCCCCTTGGGTTACCTGGAGCAGCAGGTGGTATTTGAGGATGCGCTGCACGGGCTTCAGCAGGTAGGAGCCCAAGGGCAGCGAGTGCTGCAGCAGCTCCTGCCGGTCCCGAAAGAACTTGGCCTGCTGCTTGTCCCGCATGCACTCCGTCAGGGCCGCCACGGAGCTGGGAGGGGGTTGGGGGGGGTACCATCACTGCATGGGAAGGCTTGGATGGGGAGGTGGGAGCTCCGGACTAACCAAATGGCTCTGCTGCCCCTCTCCACCCAATTACTCACTTGGGGTAGTTGTTGCAATACTGGGTGTAGATATCAAACTCTTGGCTCTAAGGAGAGACCACAAATAGTGATTTCAGGGAGACTTCCATGTGACTATAAGCTGGGTTGTACCAAAGACAGGCTCCTGGCCCCTAGAGCACACTCTTGTCCCCCTTGCCCTGAGTGTCTGCAGCCCCATCTTTATGCTCATCTGTCTAGGACATCCCATCCACCCAGCAGCCCCTGGCTCCAGCCCAGAACACTCTTCTCGTTTGAAGCAGCATGCTCGGCACTTCTCCTGGAGAGGGGCTCCCAGCATTCACACATCCTCATAAGCTGGGAATTCCAGCAGGGCAGGACAAGGGGCAAGGACCCAGCCCATCTTACCCTTTCCACAAAGCAGCTGGCCACAGCCACGGGGTCACTATTGCAGCTGTCCAGGTCTCTGAGGAGCTGGCTGGGTGAGAGGAGAGTGGCCATCAGACCCCAGACAGCTCACAGCCTGCACAGCCAGCAACACGTCCCCTCCCCAACCTCCTGGTGCCCAGACACACAGCCAGCCCTGCTGTCATGCCCAAGAGTGGAGGGCTTCCACCCTCAGAGTGAGCCCCGCCACGGCAGCAACCACAGAAAGATGAAGAGAAAGGAGACCCACGTGCTCGGCAAGCGGGAGAGGGAGAGGAGACACCAGTACCCACCTCGGGAGGGCACCCAGCTCCTCTGCGGGCAGAAGGGGTCAAACACACAAAAGCAGAGATTAAAGAGAGAAGAGGAGAGAGAGGGGACTCACAAAGGAACCAAGGCCCTAGTTCAGAAGGATGCGGGAAAGAGAGAGAGACAGGGTGAGTCCCTGCACCCTTGTTTTTAGATGAGGGCACTATAGAAAACCATAGAAGTGGTGCTCTCCCTACCTCCTACTCTTTTCCCAAGCCCCATCATTGGCCTAAGTCTCGCCTGGCCTGCCCTCCCAGCCTTCTCCGGCTTGCACAGCAGGAATTTCCTCTGCCTACCTTAAGGGGCCTGGGGTAAGGTTCCTTCTGTCCTATCAATGCTGTCCCCTCAAGCTCTGCTCCTGTGACCAGTGCTCTTTCCCTGGGGAGTCTGTGGGCCAAGGCAGCACACCCTAGCCCTCGAGGAACCCCTCCGCCCTGAGACAGCTCCTCCCCTTGCTCAGCCTCCCCCATTGCATCTTGCCTGGCCTGTGCTTCCCCTAATGGGTCAGATCATCTCCAGGGAGCCCTGACTTCCCATGGGGTCAGTGACAAGGTGGAGAAGGAATTAAGAGATATGCAAGCGGAGAATGAAGACGAGAGGGAAAAGGGGCCAGCCAGAGGGAAGAGCATCACGTGCAAAGCCCAGCGGTCCCCCTGGGGGACCCAACACGCACATGGCCTCAAACACACGGACTCAAATTATCTCCCTGACCCGAGAGAAAGCACATGGGCCCCAGCTGGTGCTCTCTCTCCTGCAGGAGCTAACTATATGGTTGTACAGGGATAGACCACCCTTCCCCACCCTCAGAGATCAGGCCCTGGGCCTACATGTCATGGCCCACTAGACCAGGGATATCCAGGGCTCCCCCCTAGTCCCCAAGATGGGCCTCACAAGCAGAACATGGTGCGTGTCAGGCCCACTCACACACCTGTTCAGTGCGTAGATGTTTTCTATGTTCCCAAAGAGGGCGCTGACTTGTTCTGGCTTCAGCAGCCCAGGCGTGTCGATGATCTTCAAGAGGTAGTCCTGCACGGAGAGAGGTGGTCAGAGCCCGGCCCCGTCTGGCGCCATCCTGTCCCCCTGCCCACCTCCCAGGCCACACCTCGTTTCTGTACTGCATTTACAGCTAAGGCGAGATTTCAGACATTACCCACTGCACTGGGTTGAACAGCCCCCCCTCCCCAAAATTAACGTCCATTCAGAACCTCAGAACGTGACTTTATTTGGAAATAGGGCCCTTGCAGATGTAATTAGTTAAGGATATCGAGATGACATCATACTGGATTTAGGGTGGGCCCTAAATCCAATGACTGGCGTGGTTACAAGAGGAGAGGACAGAGAGACACAGAGAAGGAGGCGATGTGAAGACGGAGGCAGGGACTGGGGCGACGCAGCTACAGGCCAAAAAGGACCACCAAGGTGGTGGCAGGCGACCACCAGAAGCTAGGAGACAGGCCTGGAAGCATTCTCTCCCAGAGCTTCCAGAAGGAACCAACTCTGCCAACATCTTGATTTCAGACTTTTCGCCGCCTAAACCGAGAGGGAATAAATTTCTGTGTCTTAAGCCACGCAGTTTTGGTACTTTGTTAGGGCAGCCCTAGAAAATGAATACATCTCCCTCCACAGTGGGGCAGAGGGCATCCTCAGTGCCCTTCTCCTGAGCCACAGTCTGTGTGCCCTGCACAGTGGGAAGTGCTTCACCTACACGGCCCTAGGAGGTAGGTGCATCATTACAGAGGAGGAACCTAAGGATCAGTGGTTACCCATGAGCCCAGACCCCACAACCAGGAAACAACAGAGCAGGGATCCGGGCACAGAGGGGCGGGGTCCAGAGTCAGTTTCCCTACTGCGTTCAGTCTCCGCTGAGCACAGCAGTCCCGTCCCTTCCCTATCCAGGGTACCTACTCCCTGGGGATCTGCAGGAAGTTCTGGCTCAAGCTACTGATCAAACCCAAGTCCTCAGGCCGGCCGCGTGAGCAGTCAGCGGTTCCCTAGGGCAGGAGACCTGAGGCCTCCCCACTACTCCACGTTCTTTGGAGACAAACGTGTCAAAGAGAACTTTCCTCCAGGGTGGAAGTAGATTTACGCGACAGAGCTGGGCCACCCGAGGCCAGAGGCCAGTCCAGAGGAGATGGGCAGGCCCCTCCCAACCTCAGCCCTGCAGCCCCGCAGTGGCGGAGAGGGTGGCGGGCCTCACCTCGACAATGCTGCGCAGGTCCTGCACATACATGCGCTCGGTTTCCACGATCTCCCGCACCACTCGGCCCAGGTAGCTGAGCTTGTGCACAGGCGCGGCCGCTGCCCGGCTGCTGAACGGAGACAGGGGCCCCCTCCGGTTCAGCCAGCCGCTGGAGTTGTTGTTGCTGTTGGGGGGGTGCCGGCCGCGCGGGGAGCTCGCCCCGTTCTCGGCTGCAGCCCCGGGGCTGCTGGGTTCCTCCATGGCGCTGCGGCTGTCACGGGAGGAGCCCGACGAGGAGGTGGTGGAGGTCAGGCTCACCGGCCGCTCCTGGCTGCCATCCTGGCGGAGGGAGGCAGAGACGGGCATGCTGGCATCGCTGCCTGGCTCGGGCACCCCGGCGAGATTCTGGGCAGGACAGACAAAGGGGCAAACCTCTGAGTCCTCACAGAAACATAAAGTAAAATGGTGGTTGTCAGGGGCTGGGGGAGGAGGGAATGGGGAGTTATTTAATGGTACAGAGTTTCGGTTTTCCAAGATAGTAAAAGTTCTGTGGATGGAGACACACCAATGTGAATGGAGTTAATGCCACTGAACCGTACACTTAAAAATGGTTAAAATGTAAATTTTATGTTATGTGTATTTTACCACAATTAAATAAAACAACAGCTCTGGGGTCCCTTCCCTCAGACTCTATAAGCAACGACAAGGATGCCCAGGTAACATTCCTTTCTGACTCCCAGGCTCTGCCTCCATCTTTCCCAGGGTGGAGGGAAGTGGACCACATCCGGAAACCATGAAGGGCTCTGAAACTCGAGGCCCCAGAAAAGCAGAGAGGACATCTCTGCCAGCCCGGTGGTCAGGGGTGCCTTCTGACAGAATGCCAAGCACAGACCCGCTGCTCCGGCCAAGAACTCCGCCTCTCAGGCCCTCAGCTCCTCACCATCCACCACAGGGCTGTACCCTGGAGGAGGCAGCGACCTGCTGCATGTGTGGCTCTGAGCGTGGTGCCTGGCACAGGGCAAGGGCTCCATGAACCATCAAAATGGTGACGAGAATGGCAGTTGTCAAAAAGTACTTCCCAAGCACCCACCTGCAGGGCCTGTGCTGGGGTCCCCAGACAAGGACAGGCAGAGATCTGCCTCTTCTAATCTAAAACAACACACCTGCCAGAGGCCAGCATTCTCCCAGGGACTGCAAAACCTCTGGGGCACCAGTAGCTTCACCGTGAACCTGAAACCCAGCTACTGACAGGGAAGGCAGAGGAGATGGTACAAAGGCTGAGCCGCATTACCCCTGCCCCACCCCCAGCACCTGGCACAGGTCCCTGACTCACTCGGCTCCCAGGGCACAGGAAATTCCCCAGAGCTGAGCCATGGGTGAGTGTCCCTAAGCTCCCCTCAGCACAGCCGGCAGGAAACTGCTCCCAGGTGAGGCAAACACAGCCTCAGGTGGACTTTATTCCCTGAGCAGATGGTGCAGCTCACAGGTAGGCCTGCCTGGAGCAACAAGTCAGGGAGGGGCCATGGCCTTTGGGAAAGACAGGAACACTCCACTCCCACCCAGAGGACCAGAGCTCACTAACACCACTTTCCAGAATGTACATCTGATTGCTGTTCCCACAGGAAAAAGTTCCAGAGCATCCATCTCACCTCCACTGATCCAAAGCCTTCCACCCCTAGTTCCAGGGCTCAGAAACTACTAGACCACAGGCTAGAGCTATGAGAAGGATCTGGAAGGTGCCATCACTCTGGTAGCCTTGAATTTGCCCCCTGGTTTTCTGTGCCTCTGCCCCAACCTGGCACTAGTGCCCCTACCCAGAGCACCCCTGGGCTCTGGCATTTGCAAACGTTTTCTCTGCCTGAACGTTATTTCCTCACCATCCACCCCATGCCATACCACACCCCAACCTGTGTCAACCTATACCCAACCCTCAGGTCTCAGATTAGAAGACACCCCTGTTCTAGAAACCTCCCCAGAAACTGTACCTAGGGGGCCGCTTCTTTGTACTCATAGCACCCCAGGGTTCCCCCTACTGTAGCACTCACTGTGTGAGACCGTGATGAGTTTGAGACCCCCTGCCCTAGACTGTGAGTCAAGGGTGATCTGGCAAGTGGATAATGAAGCTGACCAACTGGTGCTTCTACTGAGCTCAAAGTCAGGAGCAGAGACCTATTTACCATCCGACCTAACCCAGTGAGGACTCTCTCAAGCACAGGCCTGTCACTGTGTGTCCCAATTGGGGGGTCACCTCCACGGTGCTCTGCATGAGCCTCTCAGTTTGCTGGTGAGGACACAGTGGCAGCGCTGGGGCTGGTCCTGTGTGCTCCCTCCTTCCTTCCCTCCCAGGCACAACACATGGAGAATTAATTAACAGGATCATCTTGAAACTCTGAGCATCTCAGGGGAGAGCCCCTGGGAAATGCAGCACTGCTCCTTTCTCCTCTGTCCTCAAAAGAGCCTTTAAAATTAATAAGCTATGCCTTTCTACAGAACAGCCACCAGCATAACACCATGTCATTACAGCACAAAGAGAGACAAAGACTCAAACTCCACCCCAGCCCTTAACCCCCAGCCCTATGGAACTCTGGTGTCCTTCAAAGCACATCACACAGTCAGGCACACTCCATCCCTCCCCACCCCTCCCCACTCCCTGCCTGTCAGTCCCAGCTGGAACAATGGGCCAGGGACTTATGGCCTAAGACCTTTCCCAGATCAGACCTGGGGTCAGTCAGCCCCTATGGGGATGCTATATGGAAAAGGTCCAAGTCCCAAATGGATTTCACAGGGGCCAGGTCACAGCCTTAAAGTAAAGGATTAGTCACAGCACCCCGCCCCCAACTCTCAGGGAGATTTATCTCTAAAGGGTACCTTTGGAGGGTCACTCTTTGGGGACCCCATTGCCATAGGGTGGCAACACAAGCACACTTCGACCCCAGAAACTAAAGCATCTTTTCTACTTGGAGAAATATTCTCTGGTTGAACACAGCCATCCGCCTGCAAACCAAGCTCACATTTTCAAAGTAGTGGCCGTGCCCAAATCCTCCTGGGGCTAAAACAAAGCACAATAGTCAACAGCTAAAATGTCCTCAGGGCTATAGACATCACAAGCCACTTCTATCTCGGAACAACTCTATGAGGTGGGTAGCATGATTATCCCCATTTCGCAGATGCAGAAACTGAGGCCACAGAAGTAGCACGCCGTAGAGCCTGAATCTGAACTCAGGCACTCAGGCTCCAGCGTTCACGCTCCCCTGCCCTTGCCCTTGCCTCCCTAATGGATTTCACACCAGCCAGGGCCACAAGCAAAGGATTAGTCACAGCCCTGGATGCCATGGCTTTGCCTCAGCATAAGCCATGGGGGACATATTAAGACCTGAAAAATTAGGGCTTTTAACACGACACTTCATTTACTCCACAAAGGCCAAAGGAGGTAAAGGACTGAGAGTTAAGATTCCTTGCAGCTATTTCCAGACCTGCTGCTATGTGACCTCTGGCCATTCACCCTCCTGTTGGAACAAAATGGTAAAATAGATTCCAGGTCAAAGGATCACAGGTCATGGAGAAGGAAAAAGCACAAGAACACTGGGATTGGACTGTCATTCCTCAGATGATGAGAGAAGCCCTGCGGTGATGAGGAGACCAGGATCACAAGGTTCTCTCTCCCAGGCAGGAGGACTCTCTGGAAAAGAATGTAGAGACCCAGAAAAGCAAGGACAAAGAGCAAACAAGGCAGAGTGCACGTGGGGACTGTTAGTAGACACCATGTGACAGTGACGGAAAGGAGACACCACACTCAATTTCAGTGCATTCTGGTCCTAAAAGCCTGATCCCAACCATTGCTGTGTGTCTAGTTCAGACTCCCACAGGGATGGCTGAAGTACCTGCCCACACGCCCCTGGGCAGAGGCAACCTTTCCTTCCTTTCCCGTGAGCCTCACCTCAAAGCCAAGAGTAGAACTCAGGTCTTCAAACTCATCTTGGAAGACACTGCCTGCTGGGGATGTGTGAGCCCAGAGAAGGAGGTGACAGGCAGCAGCGCCAACATCCTCAAGCCAGACACGCACACACCCCATCCTACCACACTTAGTCTCCAGCTCCCCTAAGTATCCCCCAGCCATGGCCTCTTCCATCTTTCAACTTGAATCAACCCAATCAATCATCAGTCAGTCAATCGGTCTTCTAGAAAACTCTACATCTCAAGTCCCACACCTGTGAAGCCTTCTTTGACAAGGTCCCCAAAGAGCTTTTTGTGTGTGTGTATGAGGAAGATTAGCCCTGAGCTAATATCCGATGCCAATCATCCTCTTTTTGCTGAGGAAGACTGGCCCTGAGCTAACATCCGTGCCCACCTTCCTCTACTTTATATGGGATGCCGCCACAACATGGCTTGACAAGCGGTGCGTCAGTACACGCCCGGGATCCGAACCTGTGAACCCCGGGCCACCGAAGTGGAGCGTGTACATTTAGCCGCTACCCCACCAGGCCGGCCCCAAGACCTTTCTTTTTGAAGGGCCCAAAAGCTGCTCAGACATATACCTTTAAGGGTCCAGGGAGTAGGAGAATAAGGGAGATCAGTTTCTTTTTTAAAAACTTTCTTTAAATTTAAATATAATCCACACCTTTCTTCCACCCACACCTCTCCAGGTTACTTGGCCCCACATCCTGAGGACCTTCTCTGAATATCCCCAGGCAGGAGGCAGGCAGGCTGCAGCAAGCCCCCTGGATTCCCAGCTCAGCCAACTGGGGCCAAGTCCCACTTCCTTCTCCTGCCCACTAGGCCTCAGCACCATGCTCTCAATCTGACCCGCCTCCAACAGAAAAAAAATGACACCGTCCCAAACCCGGATAGCCTGTGTTCTGTCCTCAAGCCTCTTGCCACTGAGGCAGTAGGACCCTGCTTCACCCTCCTGCCCCCAACTTCAGAAAGGATGGTCCCACAGGGGCACTCACCTGGCACCTTCTGGAGAACCTCTGTTTCTCTGGTCCAGGGGGATCCCCAGGACTCAGCAACACTCCCTTCTGGCCCTCCCTCCCCAGCCAGTGGGCTGAGGAGAAGGCAGGAGAGGGCGAGGGGCCACTTGGTGAACCCTCTGCATGAGCCAGCACTCTGGAGACTCCCCAGAAGACATTTCGGTTCGGGGAGGCTGGGTCCAGGTGTGGAGGAGGCTGATGTCATCCTTTCACCTACCGCCCTTCACCCCACGCCCAACAAGCGGAAGCCCGACACACCACACTTGCTCTGGAGGCGGGCAGGAGAAGGACAAGGGGGTTCCCCCCAGGCACTGCTCCAAAGTCCACCAGCCCTAGCGGGGAAGGGGAGGAACCCATCCAGGCCCTGCCCATGGCCAAGCCCTTCCTCAGGGACGGTGGGCTGTGTGGCCGGCTTTCACCTTCCAGCGACAAACA